TAATCTTTCTTGGCAGCTATGAGGATGATCCTCAGGTTCCGGACCCAGTCCGTATAGTTGCTGCCATCATCTTTCAGCTTGGTTTTCTCTAGGAACGCGTTGAAGTTGAGGACTACGTTGGCCATTTGATCTACAAGACATATTGTAAAATATTTAGACTAAGTTCATGATAATTAAGTTCAACTAATCAAATTAATGAACTCCCACTTAGATTAGACATCCCTCCAGTCATCTAAGTATTACATGATCCGAGTTTAACTAGACCGTGTCCGATCATCACGTGAGACGGACTAGTCAACGTCGGTGAACATCTTCATGTTGATCGTATCTTCTATACGACTCATGCTCGATCTTTCGGTCTTCTGTGTTCCGAGGCCATGTCTGTACATGCTAGGCTCGTCAAGTTAACCTAAGTGTTTGCATGTGTAAATCTGTCTTACACCCGTTGTATGTGAACGTCTGAATAAAACACCCGATCATCACGTGGTGTTTTGAAACAGCGAACTGTCGCAACGGTGCACAGTTAGGGGGAACACTTCTTGAAATTATTGTGAGGGATCATCTTATTTACTACCGTCGTTCTAAGTAAACAAGATGCAAAAACATGATAAACATCACATGCAATTAAATAATAAACGTGACATGATATGGCCAATATCACATAGCTCCTTTGATCTCCATCTCGGGGCTCCATGATCATCTTGTCACCGGCTTGACACCATGATCTCCATCATCATGATCTCCATCATCGTGTCTCCATGAAGTTGCTCGCCAACTATTACTTCTACTACTATGGCTAACGCGTTTAGCAATAAAGTAAAGTAATTTACATGGCGTTTCTCAATGACGCGCAGGTCATATAAAAGAATAAAGACAACTCCTATGGCTCCTGCTGGTTGTCATACTCATCGACATGCAAGTCGTGATTCCTATTACAATAGCATGAACATCTCATACATCACATATAGATCATTCATCATTCATCACAACTTTGGCCATATCATATCACAAACCACTTGCTGCAAAAACAAGTTAGACGTCCTCTAATTGTTGTTGCAAGTTTTACGTGGCTGAATTAGGGTTCTAGCAAGAACGTCTTCTTACCTACGTTAAAGCCACAACGTGATTTGTCAACTTCTATTTACCCTTCATAAGGACCCTGTTCATCGAATCCGCTCCAACTAAAGTGGGAGAGACAGACACCCGCCAGCCACCTTATGCAACTAGTGCATGTTAGTCAGTGGAACCGGTCTCACGTAAGCGTACGTGTAAGGTTGGTCCGGGCCGCTTCATCCCACAATACCGCTGAAGCAAGAAAAGACTAGTAACGGCAAGAAAGTTGACAAATCCACGCCCACAACTAATTGTGTTCTACTCGCGCAAGAAGAACTACGCATAGACCTAGCTCATGATGCCACTGTTGGGGAACGTTGCAGAAAACAAAAAATTTCCTACTCGTTTCACCAAGATCATCTAGGAGTTCATCTAGCAACGAGTCATCGGATGCATCTACATACCTTTGTAGATGGCGCACGGAAGCGTTCAAAAGAACGGTGATGATGTATTCGTACCCGACGTGATCCAAATCACCGATGACCAGCGCCGAACGGACGGCACCTCCGCGTTCAACACACGTACGGGACGGGAGACGTCTCCTCCTTCTTGATCCAGCAAGGGGGGAGGAGAGGTTGATGAAGATCCAGCAGCACGACGGCGTGGTGGTGGATGCAGGGCGTCACAGAAGCAGGGTTTCGCCAAGACTACGAGGGAGAGACGTAACGGGGAGAGAGGGAGGCGCCAGGGGCTGGTCTGAAATCCCTCCTCTCCCCCCACTATATATAGGGGTGCCAAGGGGGGCGCCGGCCCTAGTAGATGGCATCTACTAGGGGGGGGCGGCGGCCAAGGGGAGGTTTCCCTCCCCCCAAAGGCACCTAGGGGTGCCTTCCACCACATGGACTCTTCCATGGTGGAACCCTAGGCGCATGGGCCTATAGGGGCTGGCGCCCCAGCCCACTATGGGCTGGGTTCCCTCCTATTTCAGCCCATGTGGCCCCCCGGGACAGGTGGCCCCACCCGGTGGGCCCACGGGACCCCTCCGGTGGTCCCGGTACAATACCGATAACCCCGAAACTTGTCCCGATGCCCGAAACAGCACTTCCTATATATAATTCTTTACCTCCGGACCATTCCGGAACTCCTCGTGACGTCCGGGATCTCATCCGGGACTCCGAACAACATTCGGGTTTCTGCATATACATATCTTCATAACCCTAGCGTCACCGAACCTTAAGTGTGTAGACCCTACGGGTTCGGGAGACAAGCAGACATGACCGAGACGACTTTCAGGTCAATAACCAACAGCGGGATCTGGATACCCATGTTGGCTCCCACATGCTCCACGATGATCTCATCGGATGAACCACGATGTCGAGGATTCAATCAACCCCGTACGCAATTCCCTTTGTCAATCGATATGTTACTTGCCCGAGATTCGATCGTCGGTATCCCAATACCTCGTTCAATCTCGTTACCGGCAAGTCACTTTACTCGTACCGTAATGCATGATCCCGTGACCAGACACTTGGTCACTTTGAGCTCATTATGATGATGCATTACCGAGTGGGCCCAGTGATACCTCTCTGTCATACGGAGTGACAAATCCCAGTCTTGATCCATGTCACCCAACAGACACTTTCGGAGATACCCGTAGTCTACCTTTATAGTCACCCAGTTACGTTGTGACGTTTGGTATACCCAAAGCACTCCTACGGTATCCGGGAGTTACACGATCTCATGGTCTAAGGAAAAGATACTTGACATTAGAAAAACTCTAGCAAACGAACTATACGATCTTGTGCTATGTTTAGGATTGGGTCTTGTCCATCACATCATTCTCCTAATGATGTGATCTCGTAATCAATGACATCCAATGTCCATAGTCAGGAAACCATGACTATCTGTTGATCAACGAGCTAGTCAACTAGAGGCTTACTAGGGACATGTTGGTGTCTGTTATTCACACATGTATTACGATTTCCGGATAACACAATTATAGCATGAATAAAGACAATTATCATGAACAAGGAAATATAATAATAATGCTTTTATTATTGCCTCTAGGGCATATTTCCAACAAGTACAAGGGTGTTTACTGTCAGGTCGGCTTATCGGATGATCCTCAGAACGAGGACGAACAGGGATAACTGGTGGCACGGCTATGAGGAAACGTCCGCGGGGCAGGAGGAAAAGGTATGGAGCGTCCTGTGGCATATTCAAGTTCCTTCCAAACTTCGAAGTTTCTTTGGCGTCTGGCCAGGCACTCTATGCCCAGTGGTGAGGTTTTGCATCATCGTCATATGGCCGATATGGACTCATGCCCGCTATGCGGAGCGAAGGATACATGGAGGCATGCGCTCCTTACCTGTGCGCTGGCTAGGAGCGTTTGGGCCTTGGCACCCGAAGAGCTGTTCGAGAAACTCATCGAACACCAGCAAGAGAGTGCCAAAGACTGGCTATTTGCTTTGCATGAGAGGCTAGGTGGGAAAGAATTCATCCGAGTGGTGGTGACGGCCTGGGCGATATGGGGAGCTAGAAGAAAGGCTACGCACGAGGATATATTTAAGTCTCCGCAAGCAAGTGATGCATTTATACGGAGCTTTATCTCAGAATTGGATATTATAAATGGGAGAAGCCAAGACAGGAGGAGACACCAACCGGTCCGAGCTTCCTCTTGGCTGCCACCAATCATGGGAAGTGCAAAATTAAACGCTGATGGAGCAGTTTCAAGAAGGGGGAGGCACGGGTCAGCAACAACAATTTGTAGGGATCAAAATGGTGCTTTTTTGGGAGCTTCGGCGATGGTTTTCAATCATATTGATGATCCCCCCACACTAGAAGCGTTGGCAATACGGGAAGCTTTGGCACTTGCTGATGATCTATACATTCAACGTGTCCATGTTGCTTCGGACTGCAAGGTGGTGATCGATGACATGAAAGGTGACAGCCGTGCTTCTTATGGAGCAATTTTGAAGAAAGTGTCAGTTAGATCTTCTTCTTATATTTCTTGTGTTATAGTTCATGAATTTAGGAGCTCAAATTTTGAAGCTCACAACCTAGTGAAACATTCTCTTACCCTTGGGTTAGGCCGCCATGTTTGGTTAGGCCACCCAGGAGACCTTACTTTCGTCCCTGTAAACATTGTGACAGGTTAATAAAGTTTCGCGTGGTTGTCTCAAAAAAAAAAAACTGGTTATCCCAGCCGGGATTAGAGTATTCCCGGTGTGCCAAACAGGTTAGGGTCTAAAATAGACCGGGATTACAAGTTCAGAGTGCCAATTTCCGGGATTCAAAGTTTAGGGTTTGATTTAGCTTTTGGCTACAACTTCAAGGTTTATTTTGGACTTTTTCCTATTTGCTAGTAATACCTATACATGTAGTACAATAGAACAAAATCGACTTGTTGTCGTTGCGCTGAGGAAATACTACTATAGACAGAGAACAACTCGATCCGAGTCCTAGGTAGTTCGAGTATGACCCGGATTGCTTGGGGACACGAATAGTTGGTGCCGCCTCCTCCTCCCTCCACGGCATAATTTAGCTGGCAGGGCACGCCAGACACAAAATGAAAAATTGTATGGTGTCCCTTTGCGGGTTATGGTGTCCCTTTGCAGATCAACGTTGGAGATGCCCTTATGTAGTCTGGCCTAAAACACTGCCTTTTTTTTAGAGAAGAGGCTGTCACTCGGCTTTAAATTAATGAAGCCCTTACAACCAAAAGGGTGGCAAATTGCTGGATGTGATCCAAGGTAAGTCCCTGATTGATTTCGATTCAGGGATGAAATGTGCTATTCCACGTACATAACGGATCGTATCAGAACATGCTGATGCGACATGTTTTGTTCCCAAGTCGTAAGAGAGGGCAGGTTATAACCATAAGAAAGATGGTAGATGTAGCTTCGGAACATGAAGCTACCATTTGCTAAGAAGTTGCAACAAAGTACTTATGAGAAAATTAAACTGTCAGATAGTGTTTCCCTCATTGCTGACAAAAAATACACCGTGCTTTAGTAAGTGTAGCCCTCGGTCAGCAGTCCAGAGTATCTAGAAAAATCTCTACACAAGGTTTCAACCATTTCCCTGTTCCAGATAAGAGTGGTATTTTTCAGGAGGAAACCTCTGATATTGCCGACGATTCCCCGCTGAAGCAAGAACAGGTCAGCTATGGAAGCTTCAAGGGTGAAGCGCCTCTCATCAATTTTGGATAGGTAAGACCCAGCCCTGTGCACCTCCCCTTTCTGAAGTAACATTCTAATAATAGCATTTAGTATATAGGAGTCGGCGGCACAGCCCTCTTCTGTAAGCTTTTTTAGAGTGCTCCTTTTTTTTATTAAGCTATACGTAACAACATCCAGCACTAATCCTTTGGCTAAGATATCATCAAACAAATATGTGGCCTCTTCCTTTCTGCCACCTTTAACCAACACACTAATCATAATATTGTAAGTCCCAACCTCAAGTGGATAATTTGTTGAAGATAGGTTCTGAAACATTCTTAGCGCTTCATCGACACAGTTGTTTTTACAAAGGCCTCTGAGAATTATGTTGTAGGCCACAATATCCACGTGTATCCCACTGTCAATCATCCTGAGATATAGTTCAATGGCAGCAACAGTCCTTCCAGCATGAAATAGGCCATAGAGCATTGTGCTATAAGTGATGGCAGAAGGCTTAATATTCTTTTCCAACATCTCAGTGAAAACAGCTGATGCGTCATCTATCATTCCATTCTTAGAGTAACCATCAATCAATATGGTATAGATGAAAACATCCGGTTTCAAGCCAATTGAGAGCATATTGCCAAGTAACTTCCTCACTTCATCCATCTTCCTAACGAAAAAGTACCCATGCATCAATGTGGCATAAGCATGAACATTAGGCTTAACACCCATGTGTACCATCAGGTCAAACATATCTTGGGCTTCCATAACCCTTCCATTTTTGCAAAGGCGGTCCATAATTGTGGTGAAGAACACGGTATCAGGATAGATGCCGCGATTCAACATTTCAGAAAATAGTTCATGAACCTTCTCCCATTTGCCACAAGTACAAAAACCACTAATAAGGGGGTTGAAAACTATGATATCAGGAGCTAATCCTTCGGCTATCATTTGATTGAATTGGGACATAGAATCATCCATTCTGCCAATACTGGAAAGCAAGTTTATTACCGCTCCATAGTTCGCAACACTAGGGTTCAATCCTTGCTGCCGCATTTTTGTAAATATATGCATTACCTCACTTGCCATTTCCTCTTTAGCATATGCAAATATGAGTATGTTGTAGACATGATGATCTGGTGAGATACCATTTTCTACCATCAAATCAAGGAGACAATGCATATCATGAAATGATTTTTCAATAGCATAACCATGAAGCAGAATACTGTAGGTAGTAACAGACGGTTTTTGGCCCAAACTGACCATAGAATCAAAGATCTTCCTAGCTTCCGTGCATCTTCCGCTCTTGCAATGATAATCCATCTGTATATTGTAAGTTATCATATTTGGTTGAACACCATTTATAGACATGTGCTCGAAAACCTGTTCCACCTCTTTGCATTGTCCTGATGAATAATATCCATGTATTAGGCTAGTATATGTGGCAGTATCTGGCAGAAATTCTCTATCAAACATCTGTTGAAGAACCTTCTCAGCCTTGTCCATTGCATGAACCTTGCACAAGCCAGAGATGATTGAGTTGTAGGTCACAATATTTGGCGAAATCCCCCTCTGTACCATTTCACAAAATAGGCTGTAAGCCTTGCCCACCTCACCCTCTTTCAACAAGCCGTCAATTACGGTGTTGTATGAGACCAGATTAGGTTGGCAGCTACCTCCATGCTCAACCATCACGTGAATCAGCTCGAGAGCCTCTTGGCTTCTCTTCTCGTTGCAGAGACCCTTGAAAAGAATGCTGTAGGAGTAAACATCCGGTATGCAGTTAAGCTCAGGCATAATTCGGAGCACGATGTCCATTCCGTAGCTGGTCTTCTTCTCCGCACAGACGGCCATGAGCAGGTGGCTGAAAGAGACAACGGATCATGCCGCAAATCCCGTCTTAATGATGTGGCCCATGGCAGCGAAGCCAAGGTCCAAGCGGCTAGCACGGCAGCAGCAGTCGACTAGAATGCCGTAGGTGATATTGTGGGGCGCCACCTTGGCTCTTGCGATGCGGTTGAAGAGGGAGACGGCGAGCGCAGGGCAATCACGGCCGACGACAATAAGGAGGCAGTTGATGGCGGCGATCGAGGAGGGCCGGGCAACCTGGAGCAATTCGTCAAACAGGTGGAGTGCATCGTCGGTGCCAATGGCTCCAGCGCGGTACCGGGCCTTGATGTTCTGCTCCAAGATGCGCCTGCCAGCGGGGACGGCGCGGCGGCTCACAGCTCCACCTACGGATGTGGAAGAATCTGGTAATGGCAGAGGACCCAGAGGACGCCGGCGCCGCTCGCCCCTTACCGCACCGGCGCAACCTGGGCATGAACTGGGATTAGGAAGAACGAAAGCAGAGTTAGGAGGACGAGCATGCTCGCCGATGCTCACCATGGATCTGCAGCTGCAACCTGCTGTAGATGTGGCTGCCGGCCGGCGAACCGGTCCACACGACGACAGCGTTGAGGGAGGGGGCGAGGAGGAGATCTCCGCCGCTCGCTGCCGCCTGCCTCGGCCATGGCGCCGAGGAAGACGAGATGAACCTCCCTGGCCGGTGGGCGGTGGCCTCTGCCGTCCCGACGCGGAGGAAAGCGAAGCTCCGAGATCGAGAGGGCCTCCCTCAACGCCGCCGGCACCGGCCCGCTTTTTCTTTTTCTTCACAAGAAGTGTCAAGTGGCTCTGCACACCTGTATGTATCTTCAGAAGTGTAAGTGTGAAGTGACGATAGGGCACTGGAGAATAAAATGTAAGCAACAAAAATTAAAATGAAACTAGTATTTCCTTCGTCTGCAAATAACTGTCGCTCAAGACGGATGTATCTAAATGTATTTAGTTATGGATACATCAGTTTGAGTGACAGTTAATACTCCCTCCGTTCTCAAATAATTGTCTTTCTAGCCATCTCAAATAGACTACAACATACGGATGTATGTAGACATGTTTTAGAGTGTAGATTCACTCATTTTGCTTCGTATATAGTCACTTGTTGAAATCTCTAGAAAGACAATTATTTAGGAACGGAGGGAGTATGTGACATGTCTATCCATCCACATATCTACTTAGGGGTTTCTTTGCAGTGTAGCACTGTGAGGGTTGGTGGTCGCTATGTGTTGGGTATGGTTGTCGGGTTGATCGCGTGTTTACGGGGTTCATGCTTCGTGAGTAGTCCACGTGTGGTTGATTTGTATCGATTTTTGCCCGGTTTTCCGTTGATTTACTGGACAATTATCTTCTGCTTAATTAATTGGTGAGGCAAATCTTTGCCTCCGTTTCGAAAAAAAACACAAGAAAAAGTCCATTTTACTACCCTGAATAAAGTGGTGGCTCACATTACCCCCTGATCTATTTTTCGGTTCCTTTACCCCCTAAACAATCTCATACCGGACAAAAAAACACCCTAAGTGGTTTACCCTGACCGGATAGTGACGTGGACATGGTCAAAGGTGGTATTTGACCTGTAGGTGGGTCCCACTCAGTTTTTTAAAAAAATCAAAGAAGTAGAAGAAAAAAAGGTGTGGGCCCCTACTGCAATAGCAGCAGTAGCAACCGGCCACAACGGCGGCGGCCGGCCACAGTGGCGGCGGCCGGGACACGCGGAGTCGGCAGGCGGCTGGGCCGGCGCCGGGGCGGGCAGAGACAGCGCGCCGAGCGGGGGAGGCCGGGCGCGGCCAGGTGCAGCGACACAGGCGCAGCCAAGTGCGGAGCGGTGGGCGGTCGGAGATGACGGCGCGAGCAACGCGCGGGGACGGACGGGGACAATGGCGCAAGCTCGGGGAGGAGACCGCGCGCGCGAGGGCAGAGCGGGGGTGGTTGGAGCCGGCGGTCGGCCGGGGACGACGGCACGAGCAACGTGCGGGGGCGGATGGGGACGACAGCACAAGCTCG